ATTTCACATTTATAAAGTTCCAACAAGCAAAAGTCAAAATCTAAATGGAATGCATGTTAAAGATAAATAAATGGAATACATGTGAATGTTTTAAGAATGTTCTTTCACGTGCTAAAACTCTTAATGTTTCTTACAATAAAACATTATCCCTAAGTAAACAAAAATAATTTTGACTCATGACAAATTATTCCTACATTTTACTGTAGTTTTCTTGTTAGTGTTAAGATGAGCACTGGCCCAAAATGTATTTCAAAGAATTCTTCAACACCTGTTAATTACTTTCTGTTTTTGGCTTCTGCCTATGACATTGTTGTGGAATATCGAAGCAAGGAGAGAAGGCATTAAGCATTTAGAAATAGCCAGTAGATATTTATGTATGCTCTTTCGTGTTAGAGTCAAAACAAGTGATTTATAAACGGATTATTTTTAAGAAATGAATCAAACCAGTTCACATTTAATAAATATTTTATATTGGAATAGATGTCGTAAGACTTGCAGTCTAGGCTATGATAAACAGACCATAACTTTATCTCTCTGGGCCTGAGGTTTCTCCTCTGTTAAGTGAAGGGTTTAGCTCTGTTACAGATTCTCACTTTCCCAGTTCATGGTATTCTTAGTGTGTCAGTAATTTTTTCACAACATCACAGGGTAAAAGAAAATACCTTACAATCCCATTTATTAAGTAGTTAGGTCCAAACTTATTGTATATGTCTATCCTAGCCTTTAGTAGCCATTAAAAAAAAATAATGCACATACATTTTTTTAAAATTTTTATTTCATTCTTAATGAGATGTGCACATCTATTGGGCATGTTACAAATTCTCAAACTTGGAATTGCATTGGAAACCACTACCCTCATTTCCTAGTCCACAGTCATTTTCTCGAGGTCCTCGTGTTTTATAACTACAACTTACAAAAACCCAGCATCACAAAGATATGATGTCATCGAATGGAAGAAGTACAATTTCATGCTGAAGTTCTGAACTACATGGAGCTAGTGGTTTGCACGGTGTCCAACCGATGTCATTGTGTTGGCGAAATGAATGAATACGTGTACTGTGACAGAATAGGGTTAGCGTTCAATTTAGTTATTTTCCTTTATTCTAAAACAGCTGCTATTTATAATAGCATTCCTAAAACTTAGTTCTTTTTCTCATAGTACTTAGCAGGAAAAAGGAACTCACAGACCTATAGCTACATCTGAAACCTCAGAACGCAATCTCACATAAACTAAATAAAAGGCTAATGTTGCTTTGCATAAGTTGTAAAATATTCATAAATTCTTATAGGCAAATTATTTGTTATAAGAAAGAAATCATGTTATTACATAAAAACTGATCACAGAAAATTTTAAAATCTGACTGATGGCCACAAACCACACTTTGAGAACCATGTCCAACACTGGTCATGTTAGAAGTAGAAAGTGATAGTTTCTAGAAAATGGCAACTCTTTTTTTTTTTTTAATGGGATTATACTACAAAGACTGATTTCATTGACATACTAAGCAAAAATTGTCAAGGAAGTGAATGGTGTTACTATTAAAGTGAAATAAATTCTGAAAATCTTATTCTTATGATCTATTATACAAAGATCAGTTACTAAACTAAGACTGTGATATGTATAGCATCACAGGATTTCTGGATAATGAAAAAAAGTCCTGAAGTCAAGCAGAAAATTAGGGTGTGGAAGTAGGACAAAATCAGATAGAGAATGATTATACCAACAACTAACACCTTTTAAAAGGGTAGACATTTTGTAAAAACACTAAATTAATATTGGTTCATGGGATTTAGTGCATTTTGTATATCTCTTTTCTAAAAGGAGTTTTAAGTTACACAATAAATAAATAAAGTTTCAATATGCATTTTTTACCCCTGAAGTTCCTATCCTAGGAGGAAACTATTTGTTTACACTTCATACATTTTAGATAGAATGGTGATGGACAGGAATACAGAGATGAAGAAATAAAAGAGAAGGAAAGATAGAGACATCAAAGTCCCCTGTGTGCATTGTCATCTTTGGGAACTTGGTCCCTCTTTTGCCTTAAACTGAAAGCTAGCTCTCCTTGAGGCTATCATCTCCCAAATGGTGCCTCTCATCACACATCCAGGATATAGGGTCGATGTCCACCTACTTCCCTGTTGCTATTTTCCAGATTACTTTTACTTCCTAGACTTGTAAAATTAAAACAAAAACCATCAACCACAAAACACACCTGGTTTCTTTGTAGATCCTGCTAGAATACCCACCTCATCACATCTCCCTCATCTTTCTGATAAAAAATTACCAGCCTGCTACATCTCACCCACTGTCCTCCTTCTCCCCCAGCTTCTGTGGAGTAGTGCTCCTCAAACTTTATGTACTCTTGAGTTACCTGAAATATCTTGTTAAATTCAGATTCTGACTCAGTAAGGACAGCCAGAGAGTCTGCCTTTCTTATAACTCCCTAATAAAGCTGTGGACTGCTATGAAGAGTCAAGCACTAGAGAAGCTATTTTTGCTATTACCTAGTCTACTATATACTCCTAATTCCCCTGTTCTGCTGTGGCACTCATTCCTTTCTGTCTTTACTATTTTTAACATTTATTGTTCCTTCACTGCTCCTTGTATTTCTTACACAGTCAATCCCAATCTCCTCTCTCTCAATTGTTTATCACCCATTAAAACATGTGCATGTACACACACACACACACACACACACACAGAATTTAACCCTTTACTCCCCTCCTAGCTACCATACTAGGTCTTTCCCTTTCACAGCCAAACCTAAAAAAAAAAAATTGTCTTCTTATGCCATTTTTTCATCGTGAATCCAGTTCTGTGTCCACCAACATAATGTTCACTACCGACATACGTTCACTAAAGTCACAAATGACTCCATGTTGAGATGCCAACAGACATTTTCAGTTTTCATCTTATGTGAACATATCAACATCATTCAGTACTGTGAACCACTCCTGACATTTTTCCACTTTGTTCTCCATGACATGATGATCGGCTTATTTTCCTGTTATCATTCAAGTGACTCTTTTACAATTGGTTTTTTAGGTCCATCATCTTCTATTTAGCTATTAGATACTATATATTGAAATTCTTTGGGGACTAGTCCTTCTTTCCTAGCATATATTTGTATCCTAAAATCTCCATACTCTGTCAGCTAAATGCAAATGACTTCTACATTTATGTCTCCAGCTCATATGACTTCTTTGAGTTACAAACTTGTGTATTCTATGGCCTACCTGACATTTTCCCTTAGATGTCTCAGAGGTACCTCAAACATAAGAGATCCATGCTAAATTAATAATTTCCCAAAAGTACATGCCACATCACAGAGCCAGATACATAGTCCAGAAAACTATTATTAAGTTTCTGATACATTCTCTTCCCTCACTGTCATATGTCCACTCTATCCTCCAAGACTTCCCAAATATCTATGGAATCTATTCAATTTTCTTCATCTCCACCAATATCTCCACTGTAGTATCAATAACTGTCATCTCCGGGGTAGTCTAGTCTTTCCGAGGAGTATTATCTCCATCCATTCCACTCTGCTCCTCCCTCTTTAATCTGTTCTACACCCGAGATACAATGATATTTTTTAAACACAAATTTCACCATTGATGCCCCGAGCTTGTTTCCTTCCCACTAAAGGGATGTTGCTTGTACTGTTTCACTGGCTTGGTATGCTCTTCCCCTATTTTCTCCTAGGTAACCCTGTTTCTCCTTCAGACCTCAACTCAATTACCATTTTTTGGGAAAGCCTTAATGAGTAGGTCAAATTTACCTAACAGATTACAATATTACAATATTCTTGGACATTTGGTACATTTCTGGTTTTGTTTACCATTATTTCCCCAGTACTAGCACAATTCCTGACACAAATTCCTGTTACCCTCAAAATATCTCTTGATGAACTGATGTATGGAGAGGATAACATCAGTTTAAGAATCCCAAATAGTATGTCATTGGAGTTTCTATTTCTGTAATTATTGAAGAATAAGGTGGAGGGAGATGAATTAGGGATTTGCAAAGAATAAAATGTAATAGCATTTGCTGTAATAATTAGATAGAAGTGGAAGGGGAGTTGAAGATGTTTCATCTATTTGTTCTTTATTCTCTCTGTCCTACTGCCACTTCCCTGAACTTCGACCTGGACTATTTTAACAACTCTCTTACTACTCTCCCTGCATCCAGGCTTACTCTCCTGTAATCCAGTTTGCACTTTCCTCCCAGAGTGACTTTTCCGAGACACCACACTGTCACTTTCCTGCTGAACACCTTTAAAACGCTTCCATCGACTACGGGATAAAATCTAGACTCTTCATCAAAAGTCTTTGTGGTTTGATCCTAGAATTCCTGAACTTCACTTCCAGCTCTTCTCTCCAATCGTACCAGACTACTTATCTGCAAATGCTCCGTGATTTCCTTCTTCCTTGCTTCCTTTCCATCCCACTGAAATCTGACTATAGAGTAACGAAGTTATTCTGGCTGGGGAATAGATATTATATCATCTAGTATGGAGACAAAAAAAAAAAAAAGCCAAGGAAACTCTTGGCCTTCAAGCTCAACTCGTATGTGGCCTCCTGAATGAAGCCTTCCCCTCTAGGAAAATATTTAGAGTCCCATTGGTTATCTGCCAGCTTACTGTAATTCTTAGCCAAAAGTTAGCTGAGTCACTCTCACATAGGTGTAGTCAAGCTCACTATTTGGCATGTCTGTCCTTGAGCTACTCTAGCTACAAAGAGTTTGTCTACTACGTAATCTGTCCTCACACCTCTTTTCTGGATTGGAAATGTTTCCACAGAACCCTCCCCTTGACCTCAAGAAGATGGCTACTGGCAGGCAAGGCGGGGGGGGGGGGGGGGCGTCGTTACGTCTTCCGTCATCACGCGCAGGGAGGGTGGGGCCCTCAAGGGACTGGAATGGAGGGGCGGGGCCAAGTAGGACGGGGCGGGGCTACGATATGCTGGGCGGAGCCGGAGAGGGGTCGGGGGAGCTTCTGCTCTTCAGCCGGTGTGTGGCACGGCGAGAGGCATTGCAGGGAGAGTCCACTCGACGCTCGGTCCGGAGAACGTGACCAGGACCACTGTCTCAGACCAGAGGCAGGCGCGTAGCCGAGCGGAAGCTGGTGCGGCCGGAGTCCGAGTGCGGCCGGAGTCCGAGTTCTGCAGGCGGGAAGCACCCGGGATAGGGGAAGCCCCAGGAGCAGCGCGGCGGCGCCTCCCTTACCCAAGGGGCCGAGGCGACGGTCACGGGGCGCGGCGCCACAGCGCGCGACCCAGGCCAGGATTCCAAACAGGCAGCCCAGGCTCCTCCTCCACCGGGCCGCCTCACCTGCGGACAGCGCTGCGCCGCCTCCGCCGGTGTAGAGGGCACCTGCGCCGCTTCGCTCACGGGTCTCCGCCCCTCGCCCCTCAGTTCGGGGCCGGGGCAGCGCACCTGGACGCGTGAGGCTGCAGGAGCCCCGGCTCGGGGCGCGCAGCGGCTTCGCCACCGCCCGGGGAGGACGCAGGTGGAGCGGGCGTGTCTTCGTGGAAGCCGGCGCCTGCCGCTGCGGTCGTCCCGGTCGCTGCCGGGTCCCGGGCACCGGGCAGTCCGCTCCCGCTCCCGGGGAGGAGCCGCCGCCGCTGGGCACCATGAACAGTAGCAGCGCCCACATCACCTACGCCAGTCGCAAGCGGCGGAAGCCGGTGCAGAAAATGTGAGTGTCCGGAGCGCGTCCCCTGCTCGGGTGCGGGAGGTGGCCCTACCCTGCCCCCAAATCCTCGCCGTCCAGAGATTAGGTTCATTCCCGACACAGCCTGTGGAATCGAGATTTGGAGGCCAGTGGAGAGACCCAGGCCTTGGATTTTTCCATTTTTAATTATTGCATTTAAAAAATTGCGTCCCCCCCCCCTCCTAGTCCCCGGCGCACAGGCACCCTCTCGCACCCCCATCCTTCTGCACCTCTGTTCTCTTTTCTGTGGTCTTAGGTTGTTGACAGGTCTAGCCTGCCCTGTGGGGCTGGTGGATTAGTTAACGTAAAACCGCCTTGAAATCCCCTTCCACTTCTAATATCCTCATGGGTTAGGTTAAAGGACAGTTCCTATTCTCATTCCTTGGTAGGGCCAGATGTTTTAAAGAGCTAAACACGTGCCGTCTGCAAGAAAGGCTCTGAGTTCCTGTGAAGTTATTTTGTGGTCCCTGCAACCGGCTTTCGGCTGCGCTCCTATTTACTTACTTGGCAGTAATTTTGTAGCGCTCAACGTGTTCATATAGGTAAAATATAGAGAGGTGGTAGCGGGGATGAATGAGTGTGGTGGACAGGGTACAATGGGGGATTTGTATGTTAAGCCACCCTTTTGGGGAACTTCCTTACACTTTTGAGGTGGTTTTGGGGTCTGTGAATTGAAAGATTTGAAGCTGGAATTATTGAAACAGACGTTTGCATTCTTAGCATCTTTCTTTAATTACCTTTTCCCCCTACTTCAAAGTTTCGTCAATTCTAATAGAGTGACTCGAAACTTAGGTATTTTGTTTGTTTTGGTGAGATATTTGTGTAAGATGGTATATACTTCAAAATGTTTCAGAAAAAAAAAAATCTGTGCTTGACACAGATTGACTGCTGTGAGTTGGCTGTACTCATGTGTTTATTACTAATGATGATCTTTGAGTTATTTAACATTTTTCAAATTTTCATAAACCATTTTAAGAACACAAACGTTTACCCAGCACAAATTAGAAGTGTGCATTTTGCTTAAAACTTAATTTAAGTCATTAATCCAGATCAGAAAAATAACAGTTTAAAATTTGGGTTTGGAACCACTAACTGGATTTCTCATTTTCATTATGTTTCATTATTCTGGAGTTTTAATTTTCTTTTGGAATTTCACTTGTCATAGTTCTTCAGATTTAGAGTTGGCATTAACAGAGGATATTAACTTATAAATATACTGATTAAAATTTGGAAGTCTTATCCTGCAGTGTGGCTGACATTAGGAATACTGTCTAGTCAGCAGTTTTCTGTCTTGGCAGTTCTGTGACATGCATTTTGTGGAGTGGTTTCTTATATAAAAATGTATTTGCCTGACTTAACCTTGTCCTTGATGGTTATTTAAAACTGAGAGGTATCCCAATTGCCTGTTCTGTGTATTTATTAATACAACAGTACACATAGCATAGTATAAAAGAGAGATATCATGGGTTTTATGTGTATGGTTAGAAAACTTAAACATCTCCCTGATGAATTTTTAGATTTTAGTAATTGTTGTAACAAAGGATCTGGATGACTTTTTTTAGAAAAATCAAAAGCCTTAGTATTGTATTCATTATAAAGTTTAACAACTTTGGCTTTAATTAACATTTTACTAAAGATCTTCCCTTTAAATATATTACATTTTTATTTATATAAGATGTACCTTTCATTATTTTATCTTAGCATTTTAATATACTTCCTAAAACTTTTTAGTATATTTGTATTTAATAATCTCTCATAATATAGTATAATTAAAGCATTTTCCACATTCACCTTCATTTTATTCTGGTTAGGATAGATGTTTATCAGATCTTTGTTGAGCATCATGCATTGCTTCTTGTCATGTAAATACCTTAAAATGTCACTACATTGCTCCCTAAGAAAAGCCTAGTACTGGCATTTATAGAATCACGTGATTTTGATTATAAGTTTTTACCTGAATGAAAAATGGTTTACTTTATAATGCAGCTAATCAAAGTTCATTTTAGGAATGTGGCCATTAGACCTAATATTAAGTTTAATATGAATTTTTAGTTACTAGTTTTAGCTAATGAGGTCTAAAATATGCCAGCATTGTCAGAAAAATACATCCAGTCTGAGCTGAAAATGCTATTGAGATCTATTTAATTTTAATCCCTTAAGTGAGAGTCATTTTATTTTAAAGAAAAAATGTTCTATTGTAATTATAGGACTGTTACTAAGACATTTTAATATACAGTTCCATAAAATTTTGGAATCAAGTAGGTGATAACTTTAACCTGAAGCTCTTCCAGTCCATCTTCAATTAAATTTATTAAACAAGATAAACTCCCCCTAGTGGCAAGTCTAACATTGAAAATTATCTAATTGGTAGGAAATAACAACTTAAAAATGTTAAATTTAATCCCACTAAAGTGTCTTGTACATAGTAGATGCTCAGTAAATATTTCCTTTCTTTTTGGAGTAATTAAGTTAGGAAATTAAAGCATCCAAACCAACCTTGCACCAGATCCATGTTCCTAAAGGAATTTTCAAAAGATACCCTTAACAATGGATTCTTTTGTAACTTTCCTTAAGGTGTTGCTGTATATATAATAACCCTGCTTGGAAGACAAACAATTTTTTTTAACTTAAATTTTGTTCCTGTTTTATTTTCTTTGGAGGTGAAAGTATTTTCATTTGCTTAACTTTGCTTAATTTGCTTAATTTGCCTCATGAAGGTAGGTGAAAAGCACACTACTGAATTAAACAGAATCTTTTTTTCCTAATGATATTAACTTTGTATATATTTTTATAGTTTTTAAAATTTTATTAGTACAGAGAAAGTTTTAGTGGCACTTTGATTTACTATATTTCCAGAAAATTATTACTGATTGTTGGTAAGTAATAGGTGTTGAGTAAATAATATCTGCTTAAAAATGATAATCACAGTAATGGTGGTCAAGATAGCCATCATGAAATGTCAGAACTGGTAATAACTTCTCAGTTTTAGATGATCCTGTTTCCTTTATTAACATACTAATAATGCTATGTAAAAGAGTGGTGTTTCTTGCTATATTTGCTAAATTGCTGCTCTATTTAAGTCCGGTGAACCTCATTTATATAATACTAGTAGAATAAAATTATGTATTGTTTTACTAAAAATGTTTTATGTAAATGTACTATGATACCATTCTAAATAGCTTTTAAAATAAAAGGATAAGACTTTTGAATTACATAATTATTGCTTCACCATCATTTTTCTTTCAGTAGTTTAACTTAGTTTGTACATAGTGACTGTAAAGACTCTTGCATATTGGAACTATGAAATGAGTAAGTGAAAGTGTTCACTTATCAGCATTTATGAAAAATAAATGGCAAAAAAGAGGAAAAAGTGAGAAATGAATTGAAAGAGCATTAGGTCTAAGCTAAGGGATGAGGTCTGGTTTCTTTGCTTTTGTAGATCTGAGCAAGTGATTGACCAATAAAGCAGGACAGTCAACACCTACACTGCCACTTTCACAACTAAAACTAACAGAACAAAAGCTTTTTATAAACTGTAAAGGTTGTTAATGATATAAATGAAACAGAAACAGTCTATTCTTTAAATAATTGTAGCTCACACTATCACAGAACAATCAGTTCTCCTGTAAGAGGCAGTATATGATTATGTTCTCAGTAGGGTTAGGGCTGAAACGTGCTACTCCATTGGCAAACTTACATAGTACGTGCTTAGCATTGTATATAATTAGGACAGTTGCTTAGAAATAAATACCCTGCAAATCTCTTAACAGTAGTGTCTTCCAACTACCACACTTCTTTTAAAATGGATTTTTTTTTGCACAGTGGTTTAATTATCAAAAAGCTACTGTTCGTTAGTACTTACTGTGATATTTGTGTGCACAGTGTTTTATATACATTATTTGTATAATGGTAGTATGAAAGGTGTTACTATGTTTTATAGATGGAGATCTGAGGTTCAGACTCAGCATTGTCAGGTAGTAAATGAAAAACCTGGGTTTGAGTATCAGATTTCAGGTCTCATGGCTCCAAATCTTATATTAACAACTTCACAATATTGCTCAGGTGAATAAGTTTAGTGATACATATGGTACACCTCTATTTTAGGGATTTTCTGAATGTCCACTGTGTCTACTTAAATAGTGTTCTGAAGTAAATGATTTACCATTTCCCAGACTTGTGTTTAACTCCACACTTGCATTCATGCTCTTTCCTCTTAGTCTTTTCCTACAATCTTCCTGATTTACTACCTCCCTCCCTTCCTTTAAAATATTGTTTTCAGTGGCTGCATAGTATTCCATTATGTGAATATGCCATAATCTATTTAACTGTTTTTATTTTGGGGGGTAAATTCTGTTATTTCCAACCGTTTAATACTCTATCTAGTATTTCAGAGAACACCCTTGAGATACATGAGATTCTATGCAAATCTTAGTTGTTTCCTTAGGAAGAATTCCTGTAAGTGGAATTTGGAAGTCCAGAGGTATGTATGTATACTTTCAAGGTGGAGCCAGATATTATGCTCTGAAACATGGTTCAAATTACTCTACAGAAAATTTATTCCTATTGGTAGTATGTGAGAGTGCCTGTGTTCTTTTTTTTTTTTTTAAAGATTTTTATTTATTTATTTGACAGAGAGAGACACAGTAAGAGCAGGATCACAAGCAGGGGGAGAGGGAGAAACAGGCTTCCCGCGGAGCAGGGAGCCCGATGCGGGGCTCGATCCCAGGACCCTGGGATCATGACCTGAGCCGAAGGCAGACACTTAACGACTGAGCCACCCAGGCGCCCCGAGAGTGCTTGTGTTCTTGCATTTTTGCTTTAAAATGTGAATTGCCAGTTGCATAGGCAAAAGAGAGAGGAGGGGTAGGTAATTGAACATCAGTGTTGGGGTTGTGAGTGTGTATGTGTGTGTTGTTGTAGTCCTAGAAGTAGTAATAGTGTATCTGCAGATTTTTCTTATTTATTTATTTATTTATTTATTTATT